CACACACACACACACACACACACACACACACACACACACACACACACACACACACACACACACACACACATGTGCGCACACAGACATTCTGCCACCCCTGAGTCCTGACATTGATGGAGAGGGGGGTGATTGAATGTACATGGCTACGGAAAAGGCGGCGGGTTTAGGCCCTCCCCCGCGTCTGCCTCGATGAAGATTTGGTAGCAAGGAATGTGCACCGTAGTGCAGATTTCATGGATGGAGTAAGGAGATATGTTAATATCATTTTATGGTAAATCTCAGGCGCGCTAAGGAGCTAGCTGAGCCTACCATCTTCCCCCGAACACAACGCACCCTCATTTTGGCTGTATCTGGCCGGAAATATAACTCGTATACATTCATTTTTAGGGTGCGTTATGTTTGGGGGAAGACGGTAGCTCTTAGAGGTGTCTCGTGCTTGAAGTCCTGTGCACGAATTGGAAAAACTCCTTGCTCCTTTTCTCTTCCAAAGCACAGCACACTGTTTGCCCCTTTTGGGCTGTGTGTGAATTCAGCTGGGCCGCGGATCTGGGCTGCCTGCGATGTTATCGTCTATATCTCTTACTGTACCGTCGCTGCTATCTTCTACATGTCACACTTTCGCATCGCAGTATATGTCACACTGTCGGAAGGAAAAAGCTTCACCTTCGATTGTCGACACATTGCGATAGTGTGACATGTTATACTATTTGAAGGTTCACCTTCAACTACTACACTAGTATAAAATCATTCATTATTAAAATGTCACTGCTATCTTCTACATGTCACACGGTCGTTGGCAACATGCGCCGCAAGCATCACAGCAGTGGAACAGAGAGCACCGAAGTTGAACCATATAACTTCTCGCGAAGTTCTCGGGTGTTTTCTGCCTGGGATGAGAGAAATGAGCGGGCGTAATATGGTGGCGTCTCTCCAGTGGCGATGTGGAGCAGCGGTCTCTCTACCCCCTTCCTCCATCGGCATATGTGCGTCTTCTTCCTAGTCGTAACTTTTCAGTGGTGTGTAGCATTCACTGTATCCGTAGCTGTTTTGTTTTTGCAGATGTTCTTTTTGTTTCTGTTTCCTTTGTCCTACTCAATCATTTACCAGAAAGGGTTTTACAGTTTAATAATAACTTTAATTGCCCTCCTGCACTAGGTGTTGCAGTTTAAATCAACATGAATGATGAATGCCCTTTTGCACGAGGAAACCTTTTGAGGAGGAAGGCCATGAAGACGTGGTCGTGGAAGTCTCTCTCTCTGTCTATAGCATTCATGCGCAAAAGGTAACCAGTACTGACAACATATTTTTGTTCTTTTTGAAATTTGAAACTTATTTTTCAGTGGTTGCAGTATATTATAGTATATATGGCGTGCGCGAAACTCCACAGCGCACTATTTTTTGTACTAATCGAAGTTTCACCTTCGATTTCAAAGCCGATCCGTCTAATTTTCAATTCACTTCGTCGCGCACTGTGTGTACTGCTAACCTCCCTGGACATAACTCGTCCGTGCATTCGGCTACTGTCTTTTTATACTGCTGAGTGTTTAGTTACTGAGTGTAAGTATTAACGGCGGCAATTGTCCTTCGCAGGTATTTAACTATTTAGTATTTACTATTTACTGCACTTGTCGTTTTCTGATATTTACTGCCGTTTCCGAGGTTCATGCGATTTGCTACGACGGTCCAGTCAAACCACGAGTACTTGGCCCATACATCGGCCACGCGCCCCTCGTGTTAACGCGCAATGACTTTTGGGGCCGGGCCGCCGTTGATAAATCCCATCATCAATGGCCTTTGTCGTGTTTACGGCATCGGAAAGTCGCGGCGAGGGCCCCGCGGCTGATGTATGGGCCAAGTGCTGGTGGTTTAAACCACCGGTACCTCCTAAAAGTGCGCCGCGTTAACGGCCGGCCAAAAGTGGAAATCGCGCCGTTTCCACTTGGCTGAATTGGGGCTACCGGCCCAGGCCTGTTCATCCCAAAAGCCACGCCCGTTAACGCGGAGCACTTTTAGGAGTTACTGGTGCTTTAACTGTACAGTTGTTAGTTAAACTGCTACAGTTAAACAGCTGCCAGTACATGGCCCCAACCTTGCAGAAAAATGAAAAATGTTCGTCGCCTGCTCTGAAAATTTTGCAGACTCGAGACGATTGGGAAAAAATGCACCGCTGGCGGTTGGGAAAAGCGCGGCGCGCAGTGCAGCGATTCCAGGCGTGGGTGTACTCTGCTGGTTTAAACCGCCAGTACACGGCCTGCCAGCCATTGTGGTCCCGTAGGGCCGAAGCCTGAAATTAATAATTATCGATGATGGAGTTCATTTTCTGCAAGGCTTGGGCCGTGTTCTATCGGTAGTGGTTTAACTTTTAAGACAGGGTGGTCTTAGTGTCGAGCGATTACTGTTGCGAAAAGTAAGGGCCTTGTAGTGACTGCCGTGGTTACTGGATCATGGACGGTGAATGAACCTCAACTAAAGACGTCCGTTGCTGGTGGTGAGGGCCTCGAGAGTGCGTCGGTCGCAATTTGTTGGGCTGCTTTGTCCCCTTCGTGGTGTCTGATTTTGTGCACTTCGGAGTTTCGGAGTCACTTTGAGAGCAGCCAGGCTCCCTCCCCCAAAATTGTACCCCATGTATGTGAGGGTGCATGTGCTGTGTGTGTGTGTCTTCGCGTGCGTGTGTGTGTGTGTGTGTGTGTGTGTGTGTGTGTGTGTGTGTGNCATTTAACAAATAAATTGGTCTCCGATTCCTAACCTCACTTTTATCTTTTTTTTTTATAAGTCTTCATTATCACCCCTCAATTTATTGATATCCCAAGCATCCCTTATTTTAATACCGTGAGTTCATAAAAAAATTGCATAAGATCATCCCCTACGACGTCCATAAATTTTCATAAAATCCAATTGGGATTCTATTGTCCCGAAGGACTTAGTGTCAACCAGCAATGATAGTCCGCTTGATACCTTGATAGGTACTACGTCTTCCCCTGAACATAATGCACCTTGATAATGAATGTATACAAGCTATATTTTCCAATAGCAACATTGTCGAAGAGGTATGAGCGTTCGTACCAATCTCTCCATAGCGTCGTTATTTATCGCTGTTTTTTATGTCGTCTCCAGAGCACCCATCATAAACCCTTTTCGTTGTTCCCCTTGTCAAAACTTCCACTTGCCTTTTCTATACTTCACCATAGCCTATCGAGCCCGCTTTGAGCCCAAGCTTCGAGTTGTCCGTTTTTTGCCAGTCCCCCACATTTTTGTGTTTCACTTTTTCACTATTCACCGCAGTCTGTTGTTATCCCCATCCAGTCGTGTCGTTCGGTCCTCCGCTTTGTCGTTGCTAGTGACCCCCCGAGCCCYAGGTATGAGATAATGCAGACTGTTGCTCTGTTGCTCTCTCGACGTTGATGAATCTCCCTTGTCCTGAGGCTTCTTCGGACCATTCTTGTTGTCTATATGGATACACATCCGGTTCTCGGGTCACCATTACGACATGTTCAACCTCTTGAGCATTCCAACTCACTCTTAAACGTGTGTGGGGGTGGGGGGGGGGGGCGTCTGGGGTTTTGAAATACTTGCGGAGCTTTATTTTTTGGACACTCAATTTTGCTTGACCCTGCGCTACTGAACCAGTGTGGGAGTTGGGCAAAATCAAGCACGTCCGAAATCTGCTAGGTACATCAAAAATTCACAATGCAGTGAATGCACCCTAGATTCGGTAACAAATGCGTTTGTTACTGAATGTTTTGGGTAGCGGATTGTTTTCGGGTGTGCTAGTTTTTCTCCCTTATGCAGCTTTGTCAATACATCAATTTTGAAATATTATTCTATCCATTTTTTTTCTTCGTGGTTGAAGGTGATATGAGCAAAACATTGTGGAAGTGGGGACATTCGAAAAAGTGTTGTGCCTCCATCCGTTCGGGGCACCCACACCCAGTTGGCGTGGCCTTGCCGTGTACCTGTGTAAACCCATAAGTCGTACCGGGTGACACTGCCAGCCATGTAGGCTCGATACGGCGGACCGAGCCTCTCTGCGGCCCTGTGTTAACCGGCAGAAGCGTACGCCGTACGCCAATGTGGGGCAGGGTAAGAATGGTTCAAACCGGCCTTCCATCCGAGGAGGTCTGGGGCCGGTGGTGGTACGGGTGCTGGCTGTGGGAAGGGTCAGCCGACTGTGAGACGGGGTCGGGGGTGGGCACTTCAAGATATTTTCAGTACACCGTTTTTGATGATTTTTCGATCGCACAAGTTTTTGATGGCTGTGGTAAGGGTCAGCCGACCGTGGGACGGGGTCGGGGGTGGGCACTTCAAGATATTTTCAGTACATCGGTTTTCATGATTTTTTTATCGCACAAGTTTTTGATGAAGAAATCGGAAAAGCACGCGTG